AGGAGGAGGAGGAGGAGGAGGAGGAGGAGGAGGAGGAGGAGGAGGAGGCAGGAGGAGGAGGCAGGAGGAGGCAGGAGGAGGCAGGAGGAGGAGGAGGAGGAAGGAGGCAGGAGGAAGCAGGAGGAGGAAGGAGGAGGCAGGAGGAGGCAGGAGGAGGCGGAGGAGGAGGAGGAGGCGGAGGAGGAGGAGGAGGAGGAGGAGGAGGAGGGGGAAGGACGACGACGACGACGACGACGACGACGACGACGACGACGACGACGACGACGAAGGCGAGACGAGGGCCCCTGCGCCGAGCGCCCTGAGCTTGCGCGATCCCGCGCGAGGCCCCCGAGGCAGAGGGCGCCCGAGCCGCCGAGGCACGCGCCAGCAGGGGTGGAGGGCGGCAGGGGGCTCCCGAGCGGGAGTGCGGGGCGGGCGAGCGGGCGGGCGGCAGGCGGCGGGCAGGCGGGCAGGCGGCGGCAGCGGTCTTCAGCGCTGCTGCGGGCGACGCGAGCGACGGTCGAGGACGGAGCTCCCGCGCGATGCCACAGCGACCCCGCGCGGCGGCTCGCGCGGGGCGCCTTTGCGGCGTGCTGCACTGGAGACGCGGACAGCTCGCGCGCCGACGCCGGCGAAGGCGGCCTCGCTTCTGCTGCGGCGCACCGCGGGAGCGGGCAGGGGTGCAGTTGGCAGCACGGGCGGCGGCCTGGCGCCCCCAGGGCGCGTGCGCCGCTGGCGCCTCGTTTGCGGCTCGCGCGCAGGGGGGTGCGCGGGGGGGCGGGGCCCCCCTCGGGGTGCATGCGGAACGAGACGAGACGAAACGACACCCGCACGCGCCCTCGAGCCCGACGCCCCCCGGAGGCGCAGAGCACGCGCCCTGGAGCCCACCGCCCCCCGAGGCGCAGGTGCCCAAGCCACCAGAAGACGGAGGGAGAGAAAGAAGAAAGCCTGGGAGACGCGGGCGGCAGCGAAGAGAGCGGCTGCGACCGGCGGCGCTGGGAGGCGACGCCGCCAGAGGCGGCAGAAACAAAGACAGCAGCCACGACGGCGAAGACATCGGCGACCCGGGCGGCACCGACGAGCGGAGGACGAGGAAGGGTGCGAGGGGTGAGGGGCAATCATGGGGGGGGGGGGGGCGGCTTGGGGGGGGGAACCTCGACCTGGGATCGGCGATACGCCGCCGACAAGTCGGCGGCAGGCCCCCGATAGCAAAGCCCCACGTTCCTGAGAGGGGTGGGCTTCCGGGCCCCCATCGGCGATCAGTGGGCGACAAGGGGCCGATGCATTCCCCCCTGAGCCGATACTCTGCCTTCCCGTATGTTGCCCCTCGAGGGGGGAGTGGGGAGGAGAGAGGAGAATGAAGGTCGCCTTGGGCAAGCGCGTCGCCTCCAGGACGACGATCCGCTTGCAGCGCTCCGCGGCGGCGGCGGGTATGATCTCCTCAGGAGGTCTCCGGCTGGGATCATCGCTGACGGCTCTCCTCCTCATCCTCCTCCTCCTCCTCCTCCTCCTCCTCCTCCTCCTCCTCCTCCTCCTCCTCCTGCTCCTCCTGCTCCTCCTCCTGCTCCTCCTGCTCCTGCTCCTCCTCCTCCTCCTCCTCCTCCTCCTCCTCCTCCTCCTCTCCTTCTTCTCCTCCTCCTCCTCCTCCTCCTCCTCCTCCCTCCTCCTCCTCCTCCTCCTCCTCCTCCTGCTCCTCCTGCTCCTCCTGCTCCTCCTGCTCCTCCTGCTCCTTCTCCTCCTCCTCCTCATCATCATCCTCCTCCTCCTCCTCCTCCTGCTCCTCCTCCTCCTTGTAGCCGTTCTTGCTTGGGCATTTCGGCATGCGCTTGCAACAGCATGCCTTCAGAACGGCATCGTGCTGTTGCGGGCCTTAGTGGCTCTTGTTCTTTTCACGCTCGCTCCAGTCGGAGCAAACTTTGTCCTATCGTACTCCAGTCTCGCGGCTCATGGGACCCAAGGCTGGCAGTGATGTCGTCGTCGCGAAGTGTTCCTCGTACGGCGTGTTGAAGTGCAACCAGCCTGAGTACAAGTGGTGCGCCCAGTGCTAGTCCACTATCCCGCAGGTGAACGTTCGCTGATTCGGCGTTTCGAAATTGGGCGGAAGTGGGGGGGGTCTGACTCCAGCAGCCCGCGTCTCGCATCATCGTGTTGGCAACAAAAGTGGCGGACGTTCCCGAGCCGCCAGCGGCCGGCATCGCACCTCAGGATTTGTTTCAAAATTTGACCAAATCCTTGCTTCAGGGGATCTTGCAGCCATCCGTGAAGGATGGGCCAAGCTCAAGCCGAATTATGAGTCCAGTCTTCTGGCCCTGCTCACTCTGAGGGGGGAATCGGGGTCGGAGGCGGGAGGCACGGGGGGCGGGGACGGGACAGCGACGCCAAACACTGAGATATGGCCCAGGTCCAAGCGTCGGATCAGGAGGTGCTCCAGAATGTTCGCTTGGCTTGGCAGCAGCAGCAGCAGCGTGAAGCGGTTTCTGACGAGTCTCGTCAGCGTATCGAGATTCATCGAAGCAGTGGCTAAGAAAGCGAAAATTGCCCCCCACACACACACTTCCATCGTCGGCCGCAGCAGGCTCTGGAACGCCCGTGCCTGCTTCGTCCAGGGAAGGCTATGGACCCTTCCCTTCAGCCCATCCAGCGCTCTCGTTCTCGCCCTGCCCATCCCCTCCTCGGCCAGGATGCGTCGGCCCCAGCGCAGCTGCGGAAGCGCGCCGTGCGCCGCCTCCTCCTCCTCGAGCTCCCGAGTATAGTTTCCCCTCGGCGCTCACACTCGCAACGTGCCTGGATGGCTGTCTTTGTGAGGCAAGTGGCCCCCGAAGGCCCAGGCCCACTTCCTACTGGCCCAGGAGCACAATTTTAAACCACGGAAGATGACACCTCTGAGACCTCGAAACAATGGCCCTTTCGGCGAGGCTGGAAGTCGTGCTGGGCGGCCGCCGCCCGTGGGGAGGGTCATGGGCCTTCTGGTGGAGCTGCTGGCCTGGCTAAGTCCTACTCGGCTTTTGTTTCTTCCTCGCCCATTCGCTCCTCCACAAGCGGCAACGACCACACTGATGCCGTCCCTTCTGCGCAAGCATGCGCCGGAGTCCTACTTGGATATGCATACGTTGCCGTCTGGATTCACGTTGTCCCCTCATCGTGCTGGCGCCTGCGTTATTGGCATCCCTGGTGGCTCTCAAATGGTAGTCTGCTCAATCTGCCTCCACGATGTGAAGGGCCTCTCAGAGCGTAATGCGGGGTTGCTTGCCAGAGTCGGTCATGGCATTTCGCAGGGTGATCTGCCGCGGGTAACCGGAGGAGTTTCAACATGACGCCAAGCATGCTGCAGCAGAGCCAGTTCGTTGACCTGTCGGACGGGTATACTTTGAGCAACACAGATGGGCTCGAAGCCTACGAATATTTAGTCGTGTCGGCAGACATCTCTGAAGTAGTGAAGAAAATCAGAATTAATTATAACTCCCCCCTCACCCCCCACTCTCCCGTCGACCTTGAGCTGTTCCCTTCCCCTGCTCATCTCAAAGTCCTTGAGCGTCGGAAGCCCCCCCGCCCACATTTGAGAAGGGTGTCGGTTGTGTTCGGGAACCACCGACCTGGGACCTTGTTCTCTGTCGTTGACGCGGTCCTGCAGGCTGCTCGTTCGGGTAAGGGTCGTAGGACACAGCGTCTTCTGAATCGCGCGTGCACGTGGTGGACCAACTTGGCCGAATGCGAGGTGGCGGAGGCCACCCAGCCCTCTCTGCATGTTTGGGGAGCTAGGGACCCCAGCGCGTCTGGAAGCCTGCTTGGTCTAGGTCAAGGAAAGCCGCTAAGCATCCTTTTCTTTGCGCTGTCATGTGGATCGACAACCGTATTCTGGACTGTAAGGTGCTCATCTCCTCTCGGTTCAAGCCTAAGGAGAAGGTTTGGGACCCTGGGATGCCAGATGGTTATTCTGGGGGGGGGGCCCGCTTTCCTTGCCCCGCCCCAACTTGATTGCGTTGAAGGGTTATGCTGTTTCTCCCTGGGCCTTCTGTCTTGGAGCATGTAGGTTCTCAGCGGTCTCTCCTCGAGGCCTTGCAGTCCATAGCCGCAGGCCTCTCACCAAGTATCAGTGAGGAATGTCGAGCACCGTATCTTCGCCCTCTCCATGAAGGCCTCAGCTGCAGCGTCTAATGCAGAGCCTGCCGCCAAGGAGTTTAGTCTCTGCGCGGCGGGCTTGGCTTCGAGAGACCATCAACCAGGGCGCCAAGAGGACACGCATGGTAAAATCCGAGCCGCAGCCGTGGAAGCCGCCTTCCACCCCGACTGCCAGCGGCTGTGTGGTCAGCGGCCCGAGATCTCTCCTGAATACGGAGAGGGATAAGTTCACTGGTCTTTGGAGAGCGGCACCTTCGCCATATGCACCCTCGCAGGTTGTGGATGTTGAGCCCTCTCCCGACCTCTTTTTTATGGACCCTCGCGAGGTAATCTGGATGTCCGGAAGTGCAGAACCGGTTCCGCTGTTGGCATTGAAAGCTTCCGCATCAAACTTTTCAGCATGTTCTCTCTCTCTCTCTCTTTCCCTGGTGTCGTTGCTCTTTGTAAGCTGTACCAGGTCATGTAGGGAGCCGAACTCTGTACACCAACGCTTTTTCCAGCCCTGCACTGAAACTCGCACAAGAAAGCCGATCCTGGTGTATACGGGATGCTGGTGCATACATGTTCGTCATTTCCCCAGGAAAAACGAGGAAACAACTATACACCACGCCACCCCGACGTCGTCCCTGACCCTCAAAAACTCCAGGGATTGAAGAAAAGCACGCCACTGGTAGTGTATATGTTCCAGTTGCCGATCATGGAGACCTGGTCTGGTCCTCGCCCAGCTTTACGTCGGGCCTGTCCCCCCACAGGGGGGTTTTCGACGATAACTAAAAAATACCCCAAAAATGTTCCAAAAAGGTCAAATAACACTCTAAAAAATAGTCCCCAGACTATGTTTTGACTATGGTTTGACAATTTTCGGAGCATCTTTTATTTTTCGTCGAGAATGCCCCTGTAGGGGGACACGCCCGACTGAAGCCCAGCTTGACGTCGCGTCAGCTCTGCTCACGAAGCCTGCCGGGGGGTGCCTGCGCCCCCTCGGGATTGGTCCTGGGACCGCACCGCTTGCGGGGGCCGCGCGCGCAGGAGCCTCGCCGAGGACTGGGAGGGAGCGAGCCGTCGGCCCGACTTCGCGGCCGGGAAGCGTCGGGGAGCGTCGGATGTGGTTCGGAGGCGGTGCCTTCGCAGTAAGAGCGGTGCCTCCCGCAGTCTGCTCGCCACCGCCCTTCTGCAGGACATGCGTTTTTGAAGTGCTACGGGCTTATCGATCTGGACCGACTCCAGGAGCGTTGCTTTCGTCTCAGCTTCCCCAATGGGATAGCCAAACTGGTTATCGGGGCCTACAGTGCCCCTCGCTTTCTGTCTGTGGGTGTTTGTCCCGCGGGGCTATGGTCTGCTCGGTCGGGGATCATTGCCAGCTGTTCTCTGGCGACGACCCTCATCAGGGTCAACGCCCTGGAGTCGCTGGGTCAGGTTCGCCATAGGCCTGGAGTGGAGCCCGCACCCTACGTTGACGATTCGGGTCTCAGTGCTGTAGGTTCTTTCCAGTTCGTTTTGGACGCCATCTCTGAGGCGGCGCCCCAGCTCCACACCGCCATCGTCGAAGGGATCGGTGGACAGGTGGCGGTCGACAAATCTAGCCTTGCTTGTTCATCTGCCAAGCTGGGCCGTGCGATCCAGGCTAAATTAGGCATGGAGCTCACGGGCCCAATCACAGATAGCCCGGTTAACCTTGGGATTGATGGCTCGGCGGGCACAAACTTCAGGACCAAAGAACGTTGCAGAGAATTCAAAATTACGATGGGGCTATTTGTTAAGAGGAGAGGCCGTGCGGCCAAGCTCCGTCAGGCTGTAGGCTCAAGGCGTGCCTTGCGTGTCTTCTCCGCAGGCCCTCTTCCAGGTCTGTTGCACCGCAGTGAAGTTCGTGGAGTCACAGATCACGAACTCCTCCTTACACGGCGTGCAGCGGCTAAGACTATCAAACCATCGGCTGTCCCACGCGCACTGACCGTTTTGTCCCACATTGAAAGGGGCCCTGCCTGGCTTGGGGCTGTGGCCCCAATCCTGAGATGGCACAGGGAGGTTTGGTGTACCCACGTTAAGGCAATCGAAGGCTCCGTTCCGTTCAGGGAGCTGAGGTTGGCGTGGGAAGGCATCTTTCTCTCGCCTTCCGTCTCGTGGAGGGCTGCTGGAGGACCAGTAGCTGCCATGCGCAAGTCCCTGGACAGGATCTCCTGAACTATGAAAGAATATGCAACGTTCGTCACGGACAAGAAAGTCGAGTTATCCATGACGTTGATATCCCCTCGGCTCTTCAAACAGCATATCAGGAGTGCTATTTTCAGAATTTTGGAATGGGAGGCTGCTAGCTGCTCGGAAGCGGGAACA